GTTCGACGGCCTTTGGCCCAATCATTTGTTTCATACGGCCTCTGGCCCATCCATTCATGTCATACGGCCTCTGGCCCGCTCATTCATGTCATACGGCCTCTGGCCCATTCATTTATGTCATAAGGCCTCTGGCTTGTTCATTCATGTCATACAGCCTCTGGCTTATTCATTTATGTCATACGACTTCTGGCCCATCCATTCATGTCAAACTGGCCTTTGGCCCATTCATACTTTCTTTCAAGTCAAACTGGCCTTTGGCCCATTCATACTTTCATTCATGTCAAAGTGGCCTTCGGCTCATTCATACGAGTTATTGAACGTATAAGACTTACATAGAAGTAAGTAATTGGACAAATAACATACTTCAGATGACTTTAATAAGATATTACTCACAGTGATCGGCAGGATGATTTGCCCTGGAGCTCGACCCTACACATTCCATGAATACAATGGGTCACAAACAATCCAATTCGTTCTTAATTCACATATTCCTTTTTAGGCTTCTTTCTTATTCTTTTAATTCATTCATAATGCTCAATGCATGCCTAAGAGTACTTAGAAGTGAAAGAGAGCGAAAAATGAAACACCGAACATGTTTACAAAATTTCTGAAACAAGGGTCCCCGCTCGTGCGTGGACTTCCCCGCTCGAGCGGACCCATAAGGCCTGCAAAAGTATTGGTTGCCTCACTTTTATGCTCGAGCGTGAAGTCGGGTGCTCGAGCTGAAGGTCATCCTACATAGCTCCCCGCTCGAGCGGACATCATGTCTGCAAAATATTCTGGGAGCTCGTATTTCCCGCTCGAGCGGCGGTTCCCCCGCTCAAGCGGACATTGTAAATTCTAGGTTTTCCAGAATTGTTCCTCAAGTCCAAATTTGACCTCCAAAGGTCCAAAACTCATAATTTTGGTTCTAAAACATGCAAACACGTTGTATATCATGAGTATACAAGCAAGATGAGGTCAATTGCTCAAAATCATGATCATATTCTCAAATTATTCAACACTTCTTTTGTATAATTCAAGCTCATGCCTTCAAATCTCATGTAGGCTCCATATTTCCAACAACCAAACATGCATGTAAATTTTTTACCTCAATTCCCTTTCAAATAGCACCAATGATGCTCATAATCATGAAAATCAACAAAATTATGCTTGCATGTAGGTTTCAATGCTCATAATCCCATATTCAACTCAATACATGCTTGAACGTACAAAATTACAACAATTATACACATGCATGTTCATACAAGCTCCAATTCCAACAAATTCAAATCAAGTTATGTTCTTGATCATCATCAAGCCTTAAATTCACAAAATTACAACATTAAACTTATGAATTTACTCTCTTAGGAGCTTTAATCTTCACAAATTCTAGTTGAATCTTGAGTCTGACCTTCCAATTCCACAAACTTGAGCCAAACACACAATTTTCTTTCTTCCTCTCTCTCTAGAGCTGACCCTCTCTCACTCTAAGGTGTAGAATCAGATTTTTTATCTCCAAACCACCAAATGAGGGTGTAATTGGCCCTTTATATAAGCTCTCATAAGCACAATTAATTAAGATTAAATAATTGAGCACTAAAACACCAATTTAATCTATGTAATCTGATCCGAATCAATTTTCAATTAAATTTCACCGTAGGCTCTAAAAATTATGCCAATCACAATGGCGTAATTAATTTCGGGTTCCGCGGCCGATAGGGCCTTTAATTTAAATTCCAAAGCAGATAATTAAACAAATATTCCTACGGTGAATATATAGAAATTTAAAACCACATATTTTCACATAAATGCACACAAAATCATATCAAACACATAATCATATTCATAATAAGGACCAATTAGCATAATACGGAGCAGGGTTATCACACCTGACTCGTGTTATGTTAATTAATCTTATTTATGATTGTGATTATGTGCTTAATATGATTTTGAGTGCCATTTATATGATCATATGTGTTTTTGAATTTCTATTTGTTTACCGTAGGAAAATTTATTTGATTTTCTGCTATAAAATTTAATTAAAGGCCGTAGAGACATCAGAAATTCAAATTGACTGTATTTTTATGCTTAGCATGATTTTTAGAGCCTACAATGAAATTTAATTAAAAATTGATTCGGATTAAAATAATTAGATTTAATATGATTAAATTAAAGCACAATTAACTAGCCTTAATGAAAGTTGATTAGGCAAGCATATATATATATATAGGCCTTCTAACACCTAAGCTCCCCATTTTAAGCTCAAAAATTTGAAAAATACTCTAGAGAGAGAGAGAGAGAGAGAGGGTCGATTCTAGAGAGAGAAGAGGCACAAATTGTGGATTTTGTTTCAAAGCTTGGGAATTTGGAAGCTAAACTCAAGAAATTAGCTAATTTTGGAAGATTGGAGATTATGGGTGAGTAATTGAACTCAAAACCATGAGTGTAAATCTATAGTTGAATGAATTCAAGAGTAATATGAGAATTTGAAGTCCATGTATTCATGCATGTATAGAATTGCCATGAATTTCCATGAAATTGCATGATCCAGCATGATGCATGTTAAATATGAAGAATTGAGCATCAAAGCTTACATGCATGCATAATTTTGTTGAGTTTCATGATTTTGGGCATCATTTGTGCCATTTGAAATAGAATTGGAGTCAATAATTAACATGCGTGCATGATGATATGAAGTTTGTATGAAGTTTGAATGCATGAGTTTTAAAATTTATAAAGAGAATTTGTAATGGATTTGGAAATGGAGCATGATTTTGGAAAATTGGTTTCAAATTATCCAAGCTCCTATGATACACAATGTTTTCTATGATTTGGCCTTGATTTGCAAACTTTGGAGCCTTTGGGAGTGTGTTTGGAACTTCAAACATAATTATGGAAAACCCAGAATTCGCCCTATTCGCTCGAGCTAGAAAAGCCTTGCTCGAGCATGAAAACGTAGCTCCCAAAAGTTTAGGAGAGATTACATGGTGGCTCGAGTGGCCGAAGCTGCGCTCGAGCGTACCCTGTTTTGCATGACTCCTCACTCGAGCGCCAAAAATCTCGCTCGAGTGTAAATCGCAAGCAACTAGTACTTTTGCAGACTAAAGGGGTTCGCTCAAGCTACCAAAGCTGTGCTCGAGCGGAGTGCCTTGTTTTAGAAATTTTGACAAGTTTTATGTTTCTTTTTCTGTTCTCTTCCATTTCTAAGCACTCTTAGGCATGCATTGAACATTGTAAATGAGTTAAAGGGTTAAAAAAGAGGCCTAAGAGAAATAAACAAATTAGGAACATATTGAATCGTTTGTGACCCTATATGTTGTAAATTGAGTAGGGTCAAGCGCAAGGGCAAATCCATTTGCAGAACACAGTGAATAATAGCTTAGTAAGGATATTTTGAAGTATGCTACTTTCTAAATGCCTACATTTGAAATAGGTTCCATGGAATTGCTACTTTGAATTGTGAACGAATGTTCGTTATCCCACTGATTGAATAAGCTGTTGGAATAAGTTATGATTATGATCTCAAGTACGAAACATGCATAGACATAAATGATTGGGCCAAAGGCCGTCTGACATAAATGATTGGGCTAAAGGCCATCTGACATAAATGATTGGGCCAACGGCCATTTGACATGAGTGAATGGGCCTAAGGCCGTTTGACATGAATGAATGGGCCTAAGGCCGTTTGACATGAATTAATGGGCCTGAGGCCGTTTGATAAGAATGAATTGGGCCCGAGGTCGTTTGACAAGAATGAATTGGGCCCGAGGCCATTTGATGTATTTGGGCCTGAGGCTGTTTGACGTACTAGATGGAAACATAGATGGGCCTGAGGCCGTTTGATATGTCTGTTATGAATTTCATTCATGCAATTCCTTTATTTTTATATTATTCACTGGGCTTTCTCTCACTCTCATTTATGTGCATGTAGGTGGGCAAAGAGATGTCCAAACCCAGCCTCCGCGAAGAATATGAGAGGAAGTCAGTTTTGAGGAGTCAACTTGAATGTCTCACGCACAAGACTTTGTTTTTGTTCTTCTGTTCTTTTGTTACTCTTTTGCTATCTTGATGAATATGTTGTATCATCTACGTACATAAACTTTTGTTTGGTTGATTACAAGTTTGAAGTTCGTGGATGTACAAGATGTTAATTCTGTCTAAGTTATTATGATATATTTATTTTGCAATAATCTCGCTATGCCATATAAGCACGACTCATTGGACAAAATTTTTATATCTGCTTCCGTTTGGCCCCATTATTGTTATAAGATATCCCTGATTTCGTTTGAGCCCGTAGGTAATCCCATGATTACTGGCTGGTTATGACCTTAACCCCTAAGGAGCGGGTTTGGGCCATGACAATAACCTTACTAAAGTTCATATATTATGCTAGATTGTTTCTGCTGGGCTTTGGCTCACCCTATTTGGGAAAAATCATTTTCAGGTGTTGGTGATATGTTTCCGCCAAGACAGTAGTATTGAGGGATTGGGAGCAAGAGCTTCTATTATGTTATATCTATTTTTGTATAGCCAAGGGATTTACATTGTGTTAAGCTAGGCTCACTATTGTTGTAACCAAGAACTGTTTTGGAAAGATGTAAGCCCGTAGGGCATTTATTTCGTTGATCACTTAGTTTGGTGCCACATGCTATAGATTCAGGTTAGAGCTTATGAATGTGTAATGCATGTGCCCTTTTGTAAATGGACTTTGATTAATGAAAGTCTAATACTCCGTTTATGTCATTTTGTATTAGTCTTTACGGTTGAATTATTGTATTATCTTCAGGGCGTGACAATACATCTATTAAAACTTTGACTTTGGTGGAAGTTATAGCTCAAGATAATGCAACATACAATTGGCCATGTGAGAAAATTGGTTGTGGTAAATAGATGCCAACAGTATCTAGAGTTTGACCTTGAGCTTTGTTAATTGTCATTGCAAAACATAGCCTGATTGGGAATTGACATCTAGTAAAATCAACTGGACATAATTTTTTATCTAATGGCTGCAAAGGTATTCAAGCTAAAAATACCATATCTATTTTTCGATCACCAACAGCAATTTGAGCCAGAATAACATGTTTTCCAAATTTGCGACAATTGAGTCTTGTTCCATTACATAATCCCTTGGAAGGATTTATGTTACGAAGCATAAGAATGGGGCAGTTTTCTTTAAGCAACAATTTGTGCGGTGGTAATTCTGGAGCAGATAAAGAGTTAAAAAAATCTTTATATTGGCTCTGCTGACTTTTATCAATAGTCTCATCAATGCTGTTATATATGTGTTCATCTCCAGGGAATTCTTCTATCAATATTTCATTGATGTGATCTACATTGTCATTTTTCGGAGTCAAGATAGCCCGATTCATCAATGAAAGTGGATCTTCATTATAATCATTGAAATCTGAGAAGGCAAAAGTGATAAGCTCTTGAAGTGGATCAATGTTTTTATTGTAAGGAAGAAGCATCACTTTAGGGATTCTGATAGTTTTAGGAGCTATCTGTTGTTCTATACCATTTCCTATAAAAAGCAAAAAATTACTAAATGCTGGATCATGCTTAGCCCGCATATTTTCTGTCAATTTAATCTTCTCTAATGAATGCCAAATGTAAGACATAACAAGCATAGCATTAATGCATTCATTTATTGTGCTCTTTGGCACAATAGGTAGCACTTGATGAAAGTCACCACCGAATACTACAACCTTTCCTCCAAATAGAAGATTGTTATCCATGACATCTTTTAGCAATTCATCAAGTGCTTTAATACTTTGTCGTCTTGCCATCGATGCTTCATCCCATATTATAAGTGCAGTAAGTTTCAAAGGTTTTGCCAAGCTACTCTGTTTGCTAAAATTACAACAAATTTTGCTTTCAACATCTATAGGAATTTTGAACCGTGAGTGCGCAGTGCGCCCATTAAGCAAAAGTGATGCAGTAACTCTTGAAGTTGTAGTTGCTAGAGCGATCAAATTGTGCGTTCTTATTGTAGCCAAGATTGCTCGATATAGAAAGGTTTTCCTAGTTCCACCAGGTCCATCAATAAAGAAATATCCTAGATTCCAGAAAGTACTACGTCAACAATTTTCGAATAAGCAAGTTATTGTTCTGTGTTTAACAACGACACATAGATCAAATCAACCTCAGAAACTAATATTGCGCTCATCTTCCATATCTTTGCAACAATCATCAGTTTTATCAGAAGGCACCGATAGATCTGAAAGATAAAATTGTTCAATGTTTTTGCCTATGGATTCAAGAGTAGAATTTATATTCTGCAAAACTCTAGAAAATATTTGTTCTGTAGATAATTTTCCTTCTCGACAAAGATCCTCTGACATTGTTATTTCAAATTTTAAGAATAAAGCTTTTGGATCATGTGGACTACAATACACAAGTATTGTTGCGAACAATTGTCGTCATGAAGAAGGCATTTGAAAAGTACTTTCTTTTTCAGCATCTTCTAATAGACCATATTGAAGAGCAGCTTCTTTGAAAGAGTTGTATGTCACTTCTTTAACAGTTCTCAATTAGAGGAATGAAATTGGGCACCGTACATGATTCAACAATAATTGTAAATAGTATCACTCGCCTTCTCTTGGATTTGGAGTGATTATTCTTCCAATCACCTCCCTTTGCTTTCTTTCATTCCACATTCTATGTTGGCCATCCCAAACAAAGAATTTAGGAAATTCCTTTTATAAATATTTTCCTTCTAGAGCTTTTTTGTTTGTTCTGTTCATCACAAAAAACTCTGTCAACATTGTTCTTGAAAGAAATTCATTGCTAGCTAAAAAGTGCAAGTTATCTATCTTTCGAAAGCTAACAATTTGGTAATCTTCAAGGTGTAGTTGCAAGCTTATCACAGAAGGATTAATTTGATTCAAAAGGAATTTGTATACTCTCCATATTGCATCTCGAGGAGATATCCATCTTACAGATTGAAACATTGTGATCTCATCAATATCTTCATTATTGTGTTGGCCTACTATGTGGAATGCTATTTTGTCATGACCCTTGTATATGTATTTATACAAGTACTTGACATCCTTAATAGTAGAGCAAATTTCCACATTAATGTCACAATCAAACTTTGCAAGTAAATATAGGTTGTAGGGAACAACCTATCTATTGTCCAACATGTGCCCTCGAACTTTAACTGTTTCATTATTGTTGCGCCGCCTATAGTTAGGGTATCCATCAGCTTTCATGGTTGTCATTGAAACAAAATCTCTAGGATAATGGTTCTTACATAGGCTATTTTTCCTACAAACATTATTAGAATTCAAAGAACCACGAGGACCATGCATTATGTGTTTGACAACCATTGAGTACAAGTGAGGAAACTTTTCTTTGTCAGGCAACTCGACAGATATAAAATCATCAAATTTTTCTGGAGAATCTAGTTTATGACCTTGCTGAAGAATAAGAAGTAACTGAACATGAGGAAGATCCCGTTTTTGAAATTCGATTACATATGTGAAAGCTGCAACTAGACCAAATAGTTTTTTTTTTCTTATAACTTCATTTTTCAAGTGCTCAAATTTGCTTTTAAATACTCGGACAAAAAGATCAGGTCTATTTTGTGGCTCTTCATTTGGTAACAATTCTTCTTTGATTTCACTCCAACTTGGATTGCAAGTCATGGTTAAAAAGATATCAAGCTTTCCAAATCGTTGCATTAAAGCCATGGCATCAATATAGCGCTTCCGAAGGTCTCTTGAACTACCTATAAATGAGCTTGGTAAAATAATTCTTTGACCAATATTAGAAGCTTTAGATTCTCCTGCTGTGATACTATCAATAATTCCTTGATACAAATATGTTCTTATTTCTTTCTAATTTACTTTAAAGTAATCCAACCTTGAAGTTTCTACCTTAACATACATGCCAACAACAAATTGTTATAGAAGTCGACCTGCTCGAAGTAAAATCGAATTATCGTTCTCCCTAATTTGAAACTTGAAACGATAAAACTCACGAATTGAAACCATGTTTCTCTTCTTTAAATTCTCTACAAAAATTGAAATAAATAAAATAAATACTTTAGGGTTCTTGTTATACTATAAGTTGTGAGTAGGGTAATCTTTTTTCTTTATTATTTTTAAGGTAAATTATAATTTAACCCCCTGTGGTTTGCCTCAAAGACATGGAGCCCCCCTATAGTTTCATTTGTAACACTTAAACCTCTTATACTTCATACCAGAGTGAAAAATCCAACGGAATTGTTTGTTTAAACAGTGCGTGTGTTGCACAACCAGAACTGGTGAATAGAGCACGTTTTCCCGCCCAAAAACAAATGACAAATGACCAAAACACCCTTATTCCCATATATATATACACAAATCAAGACCCAAATAACATAGAACCCTAAACTGAAATTTTCCCAGATTGTCTGAAAGCTGCCCAGATTTTCCCAAAGTTGAAGATTATTGTTGGATGGTTTCTTCATTTGCTTCTGAAAGTGGACAGTCAAGGACAAATGCTCCTAGACTATGTTATTGTGGAGAGAGATCCCCTGTGAAGACTTCAATGACATCTAGAAATATGGGTAGAAGGTTTTATGGTTGTGCAACTTATGGGGTAAGCAAAAGTTAATTTTTTTATTTTATTTTATTTTATTTTTGGAAAAAAAGATTGAATTTTGTTTGAAAAGGAATTTATGGATTCATATTTTTTTATTATAGGTTGATGCAACTTGTGGCTACTTCGAATGGGTTGATCCACCCATGTGCCAATGTGGGAGGGAGGTGTTGCCAAAGATGGTTGCAAAGATGAATAGGTTGGAGAAGGAACTAGCAAGAAGTTGTAGAAGGAAGAAAATGTTTTGCAAAGCTCTGTTTGGGATATGGGTTTTTTTCTTTATCATGACAATGTTCTGGGTGAAGTTTGGTGGAGTGAAGAAAAATGGTTTGTTATTAGGCCATAGAGTTTGAGAGATGAAAAATATAGTCAAGGTAGAAAATGAAGGTGTACAATGGTCTATGAAGCAATTGTAATGAAAGAATTTTTTGGTCAAGAAATTTATGCATCTGATGAACCAAAGAAATTGTAATGAAATAATGTTTTGTTGATTACATCTTCCAAGAACATTAAAGAATAGAAACATATTGGTTCCCATTGTTCCTCTATTTGAAACATGCTTCATTTGCTTCATACAAAACAATTTCAGCAAGTAAACTTGTGTATTAATAAAGGTACACAAAACAAATAATAAGGTACACAAGCCATAATTCAAAAACATGCTTCAACCCAAAAACATAGTAAACTAAGATATTGTTGTTTACTAAGATACATGTATTAATAAAGGTACACAAAAACATGCTTCCCATTGTTCCCCTATTTAAAACATGCTTCATTTGTTTCAATTCACATTATTTTAATACAAGCCATAATTCAACCCACTAGGCTTCTCAAAACATAGTAAACTAAGATATTATTGTTTACTAGCCAGTTTCAAATTCAAAAACAAATTGGTACAAGTCACATAATGGTTTAACAATTTGAAAAGTACTCAAAACACAACAAAAGCTGACTGAAAACAGAAAAACAGATGCCTAGTCCATCATGCTTTCCCTTTGCCTTTGTCAGTTTGCCTCTGAGTTGTAGTTTTTGCAAACCCACCTCCTCTTCTACCTCTTGTAATGAAGCTACCTCCCAATGCAAATCTGGACATAACCCTGCCACCTCTAACTGGTTCACCCATTCCTTTGCCATAACTAGTGGGCTGCTGTAGACACCCCATTTTTGACCGTCCTCGAGACTTGGTTATGCTTGCAGGTACACCCAACAACTAGTTCGATTGCTCGCTGAGTACTTGACTGTCGCGGCGAAACGTCCTTTCTGTCCTTTTTTTTTTGGACCTTGACTAGGTCCTTTCAAAGTGACCTTCTTGGTGCACTGCCGGCCATGGCATGGCACTGCCGGCCATTTACTTTTGCCTGCCGGCCACTGATAAAGCCTTGCCGGCCATCAGTGAGTCACTACCGGCCATTACTGATGGCCAGGACCCCCCCTGTCTCAGATGGTTTTCCTCCAAATCTTTTGAGCTAGCTGGTTTTTTGTTTTTTGCCCTCCATACACGTGTATGAAGAGATGGAGCTCTTAAAAAGCTTCTTGAAGAAGCTTCTTCTTGCTCTCTTCTATATAAGCAAAAGGGCTCCCTCTATATCAGAGGTTCAGCACTTTGACAAGAGAGATAGCTCTCTCTCTCTATATTTCTTGCTCTCTCTCTATATTATTGTGGTTTTAGTCCATTTTCCTTGCACTTTTGCACTACACCTCCTAGCACAACACCTCCACCACCTATTCCATCACCTTGGAACTGATTTGCAGAGGTTGAAGACTCACTTCCTTGGTCCAAAAGTTGCTGCATTGCTGTGCTACAAGGGTAAATCCTCATTTTCCCATTTTTTGCATTGTTTTGCTCTATACTTTAGCTCCATTTGCAAGCATTTTAGAGTTTTGGCATGAACTGAAAAGTGTCTTATTTTGAGCCCCTCTTGAAGTTTGATTAAGGATACTTTTCTGTTTGAGGTCATGTACCTCCTTGTATGCTCCATCTCTCTTTTAAGGCTTATTTTGCATCATATCTTAGCCTTACTTGCAAGCATTTTCGAGCTTGATCATAAACTGAGAAAAGCCTTATTTTGAACTCCTCTTAAAGTTTGTTTAAGGTCTCTTTTCTGTTGGGGGTCATCTCCCCCCTTGTATGTTGTTTGCATCTTGTTTTGAGCCTTGCTCCTAGGCCTTTGTTTCATGCTTTGTTTGGCCTTCTAGACACTGAAATCCAGTGGATTTTCAGTGGCTAACATACTATTTTGAGAGCCAAAATTAGAGGGGGTGACCCCCTCTTTCGTTGTCTTGTTTGTTGGCCTTTTTGGCCTTCCAAAGGGGCTCTATTTTGCATGTATTGGATTCATGTTTCAGTCCTTATTTTGTGAGTTTTAAGATCTGCCTAAGCTTTTTCAAGAGCCCATTTTACCATATTTTGTGTCCCCCATGCATGTTTAGAGCAACCCTCTTCAAGGCCTTTCGAAGGGACCTTTCATTGCATGCTTCATTGACTCCTTTCAGGCTCTTTTTGGTGAGTTTTAGGACCCTCATAAGTCATTTCCAGAGTTGGTTTTGCCATGTTAAGTGTCCTTGTTGCATGTGTAGAGTAGCCTCTCTTGTAGCCTTTCAAAGGAACTCATCATTCTTGCATGTGTGGACTTCATTTCAGTGGGTTTTTGGGGTTTATTTGACATGCCATGTTTCTGTTTTGGGCTGATTTGGTGACCTCCCTTGTGCTTCATATACATGTAGTGAAAACCATGCTTACTAGCCTTTGTTGCATGTTGTTTTAGCTCTTCATGTTAGCATTTTTTGGCCATGCTTGGAACTGATTTGGTGCATGTTTAGGACTACCTTGGCTCTGTTTTCATGCTTCATATCCAAATAATGCTTGCTTTGTATGGTTATAGTTCAATGCATTTGCCTAGTTTTGAGTTTCGGGAGCCTATTTCATGCATTGGGTGACATATTTCCATGATTTGGGACTATTGAGCATCATATCTCAGAGCTGGAAATTGCATGTTTGTATGCCATCTTTTATCCCTTGCCATGGTTTGGTAGAGTGGCATTTGATGCCTTAGGATCGGTCCCTTGCATCGTGCATGTTTGCATGTGTCTCGGTTGTCTCATTTCCATCATATGGCCACTGATTTGAGTGTGGCTGAGGTCCGCTCATATTGGTCTAAGCCCATCGTGCATTGTGTATGCCATTTTAGTCCATTGCATTGCGTATGCTAGGTTGTTAGTCGCATTATGTATGCCATATAGTTTATAGCATTGTGTATGCTAGTAGCACGTTGCGTCTCATCCTTGCATGGTTAGGTCGCATTGCATTAGGATTGCATGCTAGTTGCATTTGTGCATGTCATGCATATTGCATTGTGTTTGGATTTAGGGTTAGTCCAAACACGGGAAACGAGGGACGTTTCATACTCCGAGTGATGGAACGTGTCTCAATTCTCAGTCGCCGAAGCTCTTGATGATTCATGATAGAGTTCTAGGCTTTACTTGTTGTATTTGTGCATTCATTTTCATATTGATTTGCACAAGTCAGATCTTTGGCCATCATGCATCGGGATGCGTGATTGATGGTTGTGGATCCGACTATACCTCTCCCTTGATGTTTTAAGGTGATTTGGGGTGGCATAGTGCATTTACACCCTTGAGAGACCCTCCCATTGCTCTATTTTGCGCTTTGTTGCAGCTTGGTGTCACAGCACACCAGTGGTTGGCAGTGCACCACTGATGGCCGGCAGGCTCTCATCCTTGGCCGGCAGTGCCCTATTGTTGGCCAACAGTGCCTCTTTCATGGCCGACAGGCCACTGGTGAACCCTCCAGCAGTGTTTTGGTAAGGTTCAGTAACAAACACTGGAAGACACCCTGCAAACAGAGTCTTTAAAGAGCAACCGGAAGGCGTTCCGAGGCAAGGAACCAAAGCAAGCATGCATACCTTCCTTCTTCGAACAGAGCTGGAGCATCTTCATTTGTTGCTCTTCATTTGTTGTTTATTAGTTAATTTGTTAATTAATTAAAGTTTTGTAAATAATTAGTTGTAACTAGTTATTCATTTGGTTTTGTAATTAATTAGCTTGTTAGTTAGTTAATTAGGCGGCCTGTATTACTTATTCGGACCTTCCGAGAGAGGGCCAATTGTAATAAGTGTGCGTGTGTGTGATGTATGTCTTCCAACCCCACGTCTTTCTCCTTTTTATTTACCAGCTTACGATGGTTAGATTAGGGCATGTTTCAACTAGCATCCTTATGCTGTGCATGTTTACATCATTCATATGTCTTGCATGCACCAGGCTCGGCGCATCATACTAACTGCATTGTATTTTAATTTCAAGTTGAATACGTGTTAGTTGTAGCATCTCATATGCCATCTTAGAACAGCCGAGCCTATTGTAGTTGCATTCTTGCATGTGTTGCATTAGCCATCTTAACATGAACTAGGATAACGCATGTGATTACTAACTAGTTTCTGTTTTGGGTCGGAGTACTCGGTAAGTGTTTATGCTTTAGCATCCTTGCATGTGTGTGAGTGACTGCCATGATAGCATGCTTACCATGAGGCTAACTGCTTATGTGATATACCTGCCTGAATGCCAGTGGGTGAAGGTTGGATTATCTGAGTTGGAATAATGCGTTGACTGTGAGTTTTAAGCCCACTTGAGAGTGGCAAATCATCTTGTTTTCTAAGCCCACCCGAGGGTGAAAAATCCACGTCTTAGCCTACTTATGAGTAGCACCATCAAACCATTTTCAAATAAACAAACATGAGATGGTTTGTTCCAATTCAGGCGATCCAGTCTATACTTGTATGCTGTGCACATCACATAGTAAATCTAGGCTAATAACCGGAATAAGAACGCATAATGTTTTCAAAACTCGATATCATGGTTAGTAGAGGCCGATCTTTGATCGAACGAGCGGGGGTGCTCACGAAGTGACCTTCCCCAATCGTACCCAAGTTCCCGAGCCGAGTCAACTTTGGTGATGACGGACACGTGGCCTTAGGCACAAGTCAGGGTTTCCTAAATTTTTCCCAAAATAAAATATTTAGGTGGCGACTCTGTATCTGGCAAAGCAGTCCATGTTTGGCACTTTTAAAAAAAAAATCTGTTTTCAAAAATGATTTGCCGGATTTGGACTCTTTGACGATTCATCGGTCTTGCATTGTACTCTGCGAGATTAGATACAAGACCGTGACTTTGAGTCCTGAACTGTAGTGAGCCTCAAATGAACAAAACGAGATTTCCCTCCCGGGACGTTCGGGGACGTCTACAGCTGCGAAGCAACACACACAAGTATGCAATTACATTTTGTGAAATACTATAAAAGCAAACAAAGTTGTGAGTTATGTAAAAAGCAAATGAACTT